GGTGACCTTTGTCTTCAAAGATCAAGTGCATGGGGAATTCTTTCCTCTGATGCACCTCCTGTCGATGGTCGATGTGGTAGTACTGCGTGATCACCTGTTGGGGTTGTGCCAAGTCCTTCAACTCAAGAAGGAAGTGAGCTGCATCATCCTGGGCATTCTCGTCAAATTTTTGCCACAAAGGCTTCAAGGGTTGAAGCTGCGGCAACTGAACTATCTCTTCATCGGCCAGAGCAGCCTGAACTGCCTTGGCGGTGTGGTTCCACATCTTGGGCCCAGCCAAGAAGCTTCCTGACCAGGCCCAGAGGCGAAAAGGAGCATTAGCATAGCATCTGTTTCGAGGATTGCCAAGGCGGCAATGCAAATTTTGGAGCACGTAGTCCAGTGGGCACTGGGCCACCTGCCTATCTTCCCCATGTTGGTCAACTTCCATAGGCGCTGCAGTGTCCAGGTTCTCCTCCTGGGTTCCAGCGCCTCCACAAAAACTCGGATAGCTGCTGCCATCCTCGAGCATCACCTCATTGGAGCAAGGTGATGCGGCCCCAGGCTCGGCCATCTGGTCCCTTTGATCGCCTGAGCCAAAATCTTCCCCATCAGACTCCATGCTGACATCATTTCCCCCATGATGTGTGCAAAGTGTCTGAGCGCTTTCTCTGATCATGAAAAACTGCGTTGCAGGGTTACCCGCACCTCCTTCTTTTTGACACATTCTCAACAAGCTTGTGTGCAAAGTCCTGAATCTGTGTCGAGGTTGCCTGTACACCGACACTGGCCATGATGGCCATCAGATTCTCTGGAGTCAATTCGTCTGGATCGACATTGCTGTCGGCTGTGGCCTGCTTGTCTTCTTCCAACTGCTTGTTGTAGAGCGTGGTGGCTTGTTGGAGATCTTTTTGAGCACTCTCGATCTTGCTTTGAAGCTCTTTGAGCTCTTGAAGCAATGCAGTGTACTGTGCCTTCACTGCATCAGCCTTCGACTGGATGGCGGCCTTTTTGTCAGTCAATTGGCGTAATGCCCCAACCGACTGTTTCAGCTTGGTCGCCAAAGTCGGTTCCGGTTTGTCTGGAACAACAATCTTCTCAACGGCAGCTTTCAGGTCCTGTGGCAGACTCTGAAGATGCTCCTTGATCAAGCTCGGAAGATCAGGAGGTGGAGGTGGTGTCGATGGCGGGACACCTAGGGCTTCACACTGAGTCTTCATGGCGTCCGGCAAGGAGTCCCAATGTTCCTGAACTGCTTTGCATAGGGCGGTCTGTTTGACCTTTTTGGCTCTCTTGGCCGGTTGGCCTCCGTACAGGCCCGGAGGTGGTTCTAGAAGAGCTTCTTGGTAAGTCTTCTTCGGCCATTGGTGACCTTTTGTCTGGTAGTTCCAAGCAGCCCATGTGACTGGCCGCCTTTTCAGGTCAGGAACCCTGGATTGCTGCCATGGCTTATTGCATTGCAGGCACCTCAGGTTCGGCTTGTTGATGAGCCTGTCCTGCCAAATCCAGCTGCCACTGCAGCCAGAGCACACCTGGTACCCTCTTCTCATTCTTCGGCAAAAAGGCGAACTTTCCCGTCTCGATCTCCCGGGCCGTCAGCACGTTCTCGCGAAGTGCCCAGCCAGTCAGTCGCCCTTTTGAGCCGAAATCTTCATTCCCATTATATATATATATATATTATATATATATATATACATGCTAGCTAGCCCCCCCGAGATCCACCTTTGATGCTCTTCCAAAGACATGCATGATCAAACTCACTGCATACTTCAAGTAAGAGTGCAGTGAGTTTGAGTATGCAAATCTTGCAAGCAGATTTCGCCAGCATACACAAGTACATTGGCATATGAAGGAGACCGCTTTCGAAGGCATGCACTGGGAATGAATTGATCAAGTGTAGATGCTGTAGAGGAAAAGTTGCCAGCTGTCATAGGGATCCAACAGAAGAAGCAGGCAAAGAGAAGACAGGGACAGATACGGTTTAAGTTTAAGGTTTGATAGCTGACTTTCAATGTCTTGGGACCTATACTTAACCTAGACCTACCTTCTTGATCCTTTGTGTATCTTTCATTGTGATTTACAGTGTGTTGGTGACATATTGGAAACATTTCCCAGATGGTCGTTTCTGAACACATCACATTGACCCCTACACCACCTGGACAAAAGAACATAAAGAAAACACATCTTACATATTTAAAAAATAGAAACAACAAAGGAAAACGGTCCCCAAAAAGAGGTCGGGATTTTCTGGGTTGGATAAAGACAAAAACATCCCTGCCAGTCAGTCGGGAGTCCGTCACCGACAGGTTGGACCGCATCGGCGGACCATCACACGTAGGGCAGTGCGGTAGCGAGTAGCGCAGCTCAAGCGGTGAGGGAACTGAGAAAGCAGTGAGAACCTTTTCGGGGATGTGTTTCTTTTGGAAGAGTAAGAGGACTAAGAGTGGAAAATACATGGAAAGTTGCATAGAAACGGAGATGCATGGTAGATCCAAAATCTGTGAGCCTTTCCCGTGAGTCGTAAACAAAATAAACAAGGTTCATTTGAAGCCCTGACTGTCGCAACTTTTGCATTGACTTCAAATCCCACTTCTCATCAGACGACTCGGTCAGCTGTGCAAAGACGAATCGATCGACACATCACACACCTCTTGTTCCTGCATGGCTTTGGGAGGTGTCCACCTCTTGAATCCTTTGAACGGTTTTTTTTCAGGGTAAAACCACCGGACAAATCCCCTATCTGCGACACATGCAGTCTCAGACACTCTTCATACAGTTGCCCAAAATGGATGAGAGCATTCTACTTGCAACAACAGGTTCTTCTGCCATTCAACATCAAAAGAGTTTGGTTCGGTTCGTGAAACGTGGTTGACCGTAGAATAGCCTGTGCAAAGGGTACAATGGTACAAGATGGTACAAGGGACAAGTGCTCATCATGTATTCCTCGGAGAGTTCTCCATGTGTGCCGCGGCTTTCTGAAACATGCTACGACGACTACCGACGTCGATGTTTTCCACTACTCAGCATGCAGTTGAATGCCATGCAACATCATGCAACATGCTCGGATGGGACTGCCAAAGAGACACTACTGAAGAGACGTCCCCATCCAGGTCAACGGCAGATTCGGAAACTAGAACCGCAGATTCGGAAACTAGGGTGACCACGGATTCATAAACTAGGCACGGCGTGGATTCGGAAACTAGGATTCGCAAACTAGAACGGGTCTGAATCAGATAGTTTCGTTCTGAATCGAGTCTGTGAAATACGAATATGTCCACGCTACATCAACACAAGCATTTCATTAGATCCCCACCCCACCCCCCCACCCAAATTGGGTGAGTTTCTGAATCGGGACACTCTGTAGTTTCAGAATCGCAAATTTCTGAATCGTAGTTTCTGAATCGGAGCCAGTTTCTGAATCGTCTTCTGTTCTCCCCATCCATTCCCTGCAGAAATCTAGATGCTCGGCAAGAACGGTATCCGGTTCGCCTGGTTCTCTGGTACAAAGGCAAAGGAACTACTCTCTCCCCAACAATCCTAGATGCTTGCAGGAATAAGAGGAATACCCCATATTTTCTGTGCCATCTCACTTTGTATGAATTGTATGCTTCTGCTTCCAGCGCCAAGAGCCAACCACCCTGCGCAAAAACATGTCCATCATCGAGCCGGAGGTTATCACAAGCAGTGGTGGCTGGATTCAACCCATCGGACGGACCCCCAACGCATTGGAAAAACGGGGACGGATGACAGGTGAACATCGGGATGAATGGGTTCTCACCCTGTCACGGTCGCCTCTTCTTGTGCATCCCGAAAAGCCAGCCACAGTTCCAGTTGTAAAGCCCCCAGGTCATCCCGGTTGAGTCGCAGACATGACACGGCTCACGGTGTGTTTCAACGGGTGAGCCCGAAACATGACACAATGAATGGCCTGGCGGAACTCGCCGTTTCCTTCGAAAGCCTCGCCACCTGAGCGTAGGCTACGGATGCTACGAAAACCAGATCTGGCACACTGCGGGGGCGGAGTGGAAAAACCCCAACTGAGATCTGGTTTGAGGGTCACTGGCTGGGACCTTCAAAAGCTCGGAGGGTTGGGGTCTGTGTTCCCGCGAGCACCTCAAAGAGCTTGGAGCACCCCCGCCACTCGCTCAGCCCCCCTCGCCTTCATGGGGACCTTCACAGCCTTCTCTGCCTGGCCACGGGTGCACACGAAAAAGACAGGATGCTGTTTCGACCCGAAGAGCCGAGGTCGCCCAAAACCCTCTTCGGACCCTTCGGGATCGACGTGGCCGACGTGTTCCAACCGGCCCCCACGACGGCGTGGCCCCTGGTTGCTTCGGAGCAACACAGTCAGGGTGTGCTTGTTCAAGAAATGGCTGGCGCTCCGGTGAAACCAGACTCAAAAACATGTGAACAAGAAAACCCAGAAAACCATTCTCCTGGCCGAACCAAAAAAACACCACCTCTTGGCCTCGAGCAGCAGTTTTCGAGATTGCGGCCTGTGTCTGATTAGTAGATTCTGCTGGCAGAATCTGACAGAGAGGTTGATTTCCCCAATGCGTATTCCGTCCACAGGAGACTAGAAAGAAGGTTTGAACATGCCCTTTCCGACGAATCGGAGCATTAGGTTAGTATCGGGCATGAGAAGCAGCAACTCCAACTTCCAGTCAATGTATGCCTTGCAAAGGCCGCGCTTTCCCATGGATGCCAAACACGTACTCATGCGGGTTTGAGCTGAGTTGCTGAGCAAATACATTCACATGCAGCTTAAGTTAACAAACAGCGCCATCGTACTTCGTGCACTCAAAGTGGTCTGGGACAAGGTGCAAATTCGTGAGTGGGGTGCTTCTAAACTCCATCATTCCATCTCTAGTTATGTGACTCATATGTTTCCTCACATTCTTATTTTTGAATATGTTTGAAGGTCCCATGTTTCCAATTACTGTAATTTCCTTGTAGCACTCTTGCCCAAAACAACGACAGCTGGTGTGTGCAGACTCGTCTGCGCGCTGCAAGGGCGGCACCAATCGCTCCAGGCATTCCAGAGGCAGTCAACAGGGCCCAGTCCATCACAGACCGTTGCTCCACACGCTTCAACCTCTGATTGTGGAAGAGAAACCCGCGCAAAAACAGGTTCAAGACGCTTCTTCATGAGGGATACAATATAAAGAGCGAAATGAGTAATTAGAGCAAAAAGAGTAATCCAAAAAATTGATGGAAATGGTCAGGCTTTTTCAGCTGGGACCCTTACAAACTTGCCAGGGTTCCGTAGGATACGAGCATCCAAACGAGACACCAAAAAAAAAATGTTTCATATTCCAACGTCCACCATCTCGCACTCACACTGCGATCGGATCTCCTGCTCGGTATCTCCAGAGCACTGTCGGCCAAGGCCTCGAAAGCCGCTCGAAGCTCGGCGCCCGTTGGTGAACGAGCGACTGGGGCCTTCGGGTCTAGTCAATGGGGAATGGACTGCACAGACGGGTGAAACCGGTGAAACCTTTTAGACCTCAGTACTGCCAAAGGCCCCAACGACACGGCCCAATCAGCACTAAACTAAACGTTCCTGTTCAGCTACATGAAGAAAATCCTGCATGAAGCAAACACTGGATCCACTTAAACCAACAGAGTGCAGCAAGCAGAGTCAAAAAAATATCCTGCCCTCAAATCCAAGCAAGCAGCACAAACACTTGAAAGATGTTTGAAAAGATCGAACACCTACAGCAACGACCTGATCACCAATCCAAAAAAGGGGTCGAGAAAAAAAAAAAAAAATATATATATATATAGTAAAAACATCCCCTAAGCAAAGCCATGCTCCAAATCAACGAATGCCAAAGAAAAAAACAACTACAGACAGTAGCACATCGTAGACCTTCCACACAATTTCGAATTAAAGAAGAAAACAATGTAGTTAAAAAATATTTATATGTTCAAATGAAGAAGAAGATATGCTAAGACTCAACATCAAAACCTCTCTCCTTCACAAAAGCTTGGTTCCCTGGGTCATCTCCGCCTGCGGCATGGCGCTCGATGTTGCGGCGCCGTTGCCGCAGGCCGCCGCCGCAGCTCCTGCTTTCGACATATTGCTGGTGGCAAGGCGAAAAGCGAACGGCACCAGCGTTCTAAACGTTGTCGGCTGGTGTGTTGTAAAAATCCGTACGAGATCATGAAAAGAAGAGAACAAGAACTGCAATGAGAAAGTCGAAATCCTGAGAACTGAGAAGTCGGTCAACCTGCCATGCCACAAGGGTGCAGGAAGGGCCATGCCACAAGGCATTGGTTGGTGAGTGGGAGGGTAACAGTGGGATGTTGTGGGCCATTGGAACGAGGGGAATCATCTTGGGGCCATTCAACTGTATAACTCTCGCGAGACAAGGGGGGGTGACATTCGTTGGCCCCCTGGCCATGTTCAGTCGGGCTTGCGTTACCAGCCTCGCTCAACCCCTCTTAACGCACCCAGAATAAACACCCAAAATCGTTCGAAGGGCCCCTCACTTCGTTCGCCGCAACTTTCGCCTACTAGCGCAAGCGATTCGTCGCAAATAAGGCGGAAGCATTCCGCATGCGGTGCCGCTTTATGGGAGAAGATCGACCAACGGGATCACCCAAAGGATGGGTAGCTTGTGAGGGCGCTCCTTTCATCACATTGCTTGTGAGGGCCCAATTCGCTGTGTAGCTCGTTGACTTGTTGGCCACTGGCCGAATTCACCGGTGGAGCAGACGCAGACTGCCTAGGCGCCACGGAGTGGGTCACAGTTCAGTGGGCTCCTGGAACAATGGCTCCAAGCCAGCCAGCCCTGGTATTCGCAGTCCACCTGGAGGCCAAGAGGGCCAAGAGGCAGGGGGTCCCGTGGGGTGATGGATCACGGATCACTTGGAGATGGGAGTACTTTGATGGGGAATGATTGGTTTTTGGCTGATCTACAGTGAATACTTCCGTACAGATCTGGTTCACGTAGGCAATTCTGTGGCGTCCACCCCTCACTCGCACCCCCTCCAAGCTGGTACATCCCCTTAACCACAAACATGCTCTCATCATGTTTGGCTGCAAGTGGCGCGAACAGTGGCTTTTGACCACCAACTAGAGAACGATAAGTGTCAACCGAATCCACTGATTCAACATCTACTGCTTCTTTCTTCTTTCGAATCTGGCAAACCTGGAATGGTTCTCCGTTCACGCATGGTCCCCCGTGACGTAACTGAATCTCCATCAGCCCTTGCACCTCGGGAGTGATGCAGCTGATGTCCTCGTTGCAAGGCCTCCGGATCCGGGACGCCTCTCCGGTGAGGGTTTGGTTAAGGAGGTGAGAGGGATCGGGATCGGGCGACTCAGGGGAGAGTCGGAACAAGCAGATTAAGAGTTATCTAGTGATCTGGCTGCCGGGTCAGAGTGAGTCTTAGTGCTGGTCTAGTGGTATGTCTGGAATTAATTTATTCGGATTGATCGTCTGGGCGTGGCAAGAACTCTGTGGCTCGTCTCATGGTGAACTGGATCCTGGACACTGGCTGTACAGATCGCTTTGTGAAAACTCAGAGGACCTAGGATTGGCTTTGAGGGATCTACATAGTTTGGATGCTTGAAACCAGAATTTCCGTGGGCAGCCACTCTCACTGCTGGCCTGCTATCTTCCAAGCTCCCATGGCAAAGGCTGCCTCCCAGTTGCTTTTGCACCTGGAACAGCTCAGATCCACGAGAACACGACCAATCCAAATTCTGCTCAGCGCCTTCAGCCAACTTCGTCCCTCGGGACACTCCACTCCACGCCTCAATGGACCGAGCACGTTGGTGGTGGCCCTGGCACCTGAGGGCCGGCCCGCTTCGACCCACGCGCGCCGACCCCGGGAAAATCAGTTCAAAGGGTCTCTCGAGGCGGTGTGAAAAGGCCAGGGACCAATGCATGTCCCGCCTAGGGCCTCGGTCGGTCAATTTTGCGGTGGGAGCACACCGGTTCACCCGCCAGAAACAATTCCTTCGTCGAACATCTACCAGCACCCTCACTGCCAGGTCATCAATTGAGACTTGTTAGGGCCCTCTACAGGTCTCCCTGTCAAGTCGGATGCTGGTAGAACCTGCCGCAGTTCATCTCTCCCCCACAGCCACCGAACCACCAAATCCCAACCACCCCGGTTTGTCACCACCACCGCCGGAACGGCCGCCGTAAAGGAAAGGCACGTGGCGGAGCAGTCGGACCAGGGCGTCCACGGCCCGAAGCCACAGTTCTGCCCATAGGAGGGACACGGCTCCTCACGTCGGCGCGGACGGGTCGGACCGGAGGCGTGTTGGGTCGGGCCACGGCGGCACGGCACACCCGAACCGGTGTGGGTGCGTTTGGGGGGGGGTTTGGCACCGTGGCGCGGCCGATGGGCGCGGAGGGGATCAGGAATCACCGAGTCGAGCCAGGTCCATGGACTCCAAAACATCTCCACGACCTTGAGATACCAGGATTCAATTGGTGGAAGTGGATGGCATGGCCGTGATTTCAGATGACCTTTGTCCGCGCACCAAACAGGTGGTGCCATCCACGTAACCACGATGATTCCAGCAGTTGATGTGTTTATGCTTCTTGTTCCTAGTAGCGATGCCAGGAGCCCCTAGTAGCGTCCTTGCTCCTAGTAACTAGTAAGGCCAGGAGCCCATAGGTCAAGCCTCCCTTTCATGCCACCGATCACCCAAACCACACTCCTTCACTCCGTCCGTACGCCTCGCAGCTTCGGAAGTCTTGGAAGACACCCTGGCAGCCCGCACCGCCATGGGACCTGGGTGACACATCGTCCACCGGTGGGTCAGTCATGACACAGGGTCTTGGCAGGAGGGGAATCTAGTGCTGGCGAACCAAAAAAGACTGTTGGAGTGGCTTGCTTGATGTCCTTAATGTCCCCGAACATCACCACAGGACCTGCAAGTGGGGACAAAGTTCCGACAAAAGAAGGTGCAGTATGTTGATTCTTTGTGGCAGGGTTTCCTCCATCCAGTCGTGCCAAGGATGAAGCTCAACTCCGGACTCCCCTGTCCAAATAGCAAGGCCTCGTTGGCAGACTTGCCCCTCTGATCACCCAAAGTACAACCAAATCTGCGCCCCAAAGGAATCATTGAGATAAATACTTTTTATATACCTACAAGTGGAGTTCACTTTGGCCCACAAACCTCTTTCAAAGTTGGTGCCAGAACTCTGGAACATCTTATTTTTGGTCCAGGGAAGGTTCATGTCATGGGCTCAGAACGAGGGAAAAGCGGTTCGCTTCTTGCTCAACTGAGCCCAGGAACGCTTCGAGGGCAATGGATCGGCTGCGATGCTGCTCTCCCAGGCCGCAAGACTGGAGATGGCGTGGCGTGGTTTTCTTGGTGGCTTGCGTCCACGGAGAAAAAGGAGCTAGTAACAAGAAGCTACTAGGTGGCGGCCATGGCTATTAGGTTGGAGGCTATCGCTACTAGTAACAAGAAGCTACTAGTGACAAGGCACCTTACTACTAGTAGTAACAATAAAGGAATATCGTATTGAATTCAAGAAAACAACGGAAAACAAGACTCACCTCCAGTAACTAGAGATAAACTCTAGTGGCCCTCAGTCCACACCCAGAGTGAAGTATCATGAGGTAGGACAGCTGCATGGTGTGTTCTTGTTGCTGTGCCTCGACTGTTTTTTGTTGCATGCATTCCAGTATGGAGCGTGCGGGAGTGCAGGAGGACAAGGTTGAAACCTTTTGCATCCTTTTCTAGAGACAAGGCTGCGATGCCATGCATGTCTGGGTGATCTGCCTCGTATCATCGACTTAGGGGATGAGTGTGCCAAGAATTGTCTGTTTGCTTTTTCACCAGAAGGAATCCGAGGTGGACTGCAGGGCCCTTCTCTGGTTTCATCAATCCTGGGATTGCTGAATCTGATTAAAACAAGCCTGCCCCCAAACAATCTGGCAATTTCTGCATCAGAGGCTTGCATGTGCCATCATTTTGGTGGGGGTGGCGAGGTTGTTCCCTGGTCGTCCATAGTATGTAATAGCTGCTCCAGAGTCTTTGAACCTGTCAGATTGTTTCTCTGCGAAGAGAAGAAGAGAAGTATCGATGCCATGGTGCCCCCGGGGCAGAGATCCTCCTGCCCTCACCTCTCACCAGGGCCACCCAGAAGGCCACCACGGTTCTTCTCCTGTCTAACTCTGAGTGCCCCAGTCGTTCTCTCTCCTACCAGCTGTACCCAATCCTCCCAAGCGTGTGTGAATTTGATCTCCTTGGAGCACGGAGACCAGTCTTGCCAAAGAGACCAAAGGCAATCCTGCCACCAAACCGAGGCGCCATGCAAAAAAAATCCTGACACAAGACCTTGCCCAAGAAGACTCAATCACACTCTACAACTTGGTAACACCCAAGCCCTTGATGTTCGTGTCAATCCCGACGAGACCGATCAATTTCATTCAAAGAAGGGAGTGGAGGCCTGAAGACTGGATTTAAAAGGAACGGCACCAGTGACTGACCGGAGGCAAAAGGCTGTCCGCAGCAGCGCTCTCAAAAAAAAATGGGTTGAGCTTCGAGGGCGTCCAACACCTTCTGACCATACCAATCTCACTGGTCCAACACCTTCTGGTCGACTTCTCTAACACCTTCTGGTCCACCAAAAACCCCCACCTCACCGAGGTCCCGAGTCCGGTCGGAAACGCGACCGAATTCGAGGAAGACTGAGGAAGGCTAGGAGAGACTGTTCAGGGGAACTATGACTTTTGGGATGCTTTTTGGTTGAAATACTCCCAGTCTTGGGTTCTTCAAACAGTCGAACAACCAACCTATACCAGGACCCAAAGAGTATATTAGTCTTTTTATGGTGTTCTTTTGGGGATTCCAGACTCTTGCGCATGTTTCGCGGCTTCTTGTTTGCTTGGAGTATTCTGCGTTTATTGAAAACCCAATTTAAAAGAAATCCCCTCCACGGCAACGCAAGACAATCTTGCGCTCAACACAGGTAATCCAGCTCACTAGTCTTTCCCTGATTGATTTGTTTGTGTTTTGTTTGCACCTTGACCGCGTCAACAAAAAACTTTGGGACTTTCAACTTTCAGCCACACCTTTTTCTACCCTTCAAAACTGGCCAACGCTCGTTTATCCAACAGACTCCTGTGGCCACCACACATGCCATGAAATATCGCTCTTTCAGGTTTTGGACGAGTGCCACTCTCTCCGGTCGAACGAAACCAGGAATCCAATACAGGGTGTGTCTTGGAATTTCGCTCGTTCTATCTAGCCTGTTGATCGCGGCAGCCATTCAGACCACAACATCAGGCATCACAAGTCGCTAGTTGATCCCAAATTTTTCGAATTATGTGGATCTATTTGGAAATCACCTCAACTCCGTGTGGTCGCCTGTCCGCCGGTCCCTGACCCCTGACCGGAAGCCCACCTGCATGGCCGAATTGCCACAGGGCCTGGGAAAGGCGGTGTTTTGCTTCATGTGTTCTGCATGTTGGTTCTGAAACTGAGGGACTCCTGTTCATCCACAAGATTCGAAAGCCTTAAAGAAAGAGATGCAATGACCAGGAGAAGCTACAAATGCCGACTGCCTTGAAAACCCAAAGAACCCAACCGTTCGAGCTAAGGACTGGACATGGAGCTGGTTAAGAGGAGGAGACGCCCCAAACAGTGGCAGTTGTTCAGTTCAAGGTCCCGCACAAGTACTAAGTACTGGTATGCTTGTCCTGAAAATCCCTCCCTTCACGAAGACTTAAATGAAAGTCATTCCAAGTCCTTTCACTTGTTCCATCTAACTATTGGACCTAGGCGTCAATCAGCGGCACCAAGTGGACCAGTGGTTAGATACCCTTTTGCGGATGCCAAACTATGATTAGAGTGGGCGTGCTAAGAAGAAAATGTACGTATGAGAATTCCCTTTCCCTAAGAAGTCCAGGTCTCTTGGAGATCCCAAGCAGATCTAGGCCCTATTGGGCCCGTTTCGTCCAAGCCACGCTTTCTTGCACCGGGCGGTCTCAGCGCTTTGCTTGGCATCACAAAGACGACCTGGCTGCGATTGGCTCTCGAGTGTTATGGACTTGAGTCTACGTCTACGTGCCAGTCGACGGCAACACGCATGCAACAACAACTCATTTACACACCAAGGGCAGTCAACCTGGGCGGTCCACCTCGCCTCCTTGTTGCGGCTGCACAGCAATGACCCGAGAGCGGGTCGTCTCCCCGTTGCCACCTGAACATCGCGTCGCCCACTCAGGACTCAGGACCAAACGGGCACCCTCCAAACGGTCGAGGCTTCTCCGGCTTCGTTCCAAAACTTGTCCTTCTGCTGCTAAGCAAAAAAACTCCGCTGACTGGTGTTTTGTAGAGAATGAGGGAATGACCGCCTTATCTTAGACGCCTTCTAATCCCAGCCACCCGAAAATGCCTTGCGTTGGTCGCCCCAGTCCAATGCAACGCGCCTCCGCCCGACTCCCCAAGACCCATGGACCCACGGATCCGACTTCACCGAGAGGCAGGTCACACTGCAGACGTCCCAATCGCTCCAGTCCTCCCACCTGCGACAAACGAACCCGCTCCCTGGGTTTGGGGTGTCCTCAGATGGTGGGTTGCCCAAGTGTGAACAACCTAATGGCAGCATGGCCTCCAACCTAATAGCAGCATGTTCCACATTGACATGTGGATACCCTAAACATCTATAACCTCTATGTTCTCCAGTCAAGCGGTAGGAAGACTCTCCATGTTTCCGAAGACGACGTCTGCAGCTTCGATGGTTGAAACTCCGTCCTTTGATCCCACACCACTGACTTTAATTGATTGCTACTAGGAACAAGAAGCTACTAGTGACAAGGGCATCGCTACTAGTAACAAGGGCATTGCTAGTAGTGGCAAGAAGCTACTAATTGAAGAAGACCCCCACGCCGCAAGACGCCTGCAATCTCTGCGCATCATGCCAGGGCAGTCCTGGAGCCATGGTGGTCAGAGTCCGATGTTCTAAGAGAGCTTTTCTCAAGCAAAGCCCGCCAAGATTGCTGGGGCAAGTTGCATCAACCAATGTCAAGCTTGCTGCCACAAGTGCTTCCCGCGCTAAGCTGCTGCCACCCTTGTTCCTGAGATATGAGCCATTGCTTTTTCAGCAATGGCTATTCGCCCGACGCGCGTTGGAACCTCCCAGCTCCTCCCAGCTCCCGCCCTTCCTGCAGAAAGCAGCCACGGGTCTCATCTAACCGGCCCAAACAGCCGCGCCCGCCGTGCGCCACGGACCTCGGAGCTCGGAGCGTCCTTTGGGGGGACCCCCAAAGAGATAGAAAAGTTGTATTGAATTCTTGTTTCTAATACCTTCTTTTTCTTGTAGTATGGCCAGGAGCCCCGTTCGTAGCGTCCTTGCTCCTAGTAGCGATGTCAAGAGCCCCTAGTAGCGTATTTGCTCCTTGTTTCAGAAAGTGGAATCTGTTTTCATCTTTTCGGGGACCTCTATACGAATGACATGCGACGCCAAAGAGAGTCCCTTTGTGCAAAAGGCGACCCAGGTGTCGAAAAAAGAAGATTGCTACATTGCTACAGTGCTTGTGAACTTCAAGTGATGACAGCTTGAAAACATCATCCATGACTGATTCGTTCATCTCTATGATCCTGGTCTCAGACAAGATCCACCTTAGGACCTTTAGTCAGTGATGTCGCAAGTGTCCACCTTACTTTCTCTTCTGATGTGCCTCCACCGACCCCTTCTGGCCATCCCTGGGAATCCCCCACCGCACGATGACGCGACTGCGGTACTGCTGACCTCCTGTGGAGGCAAATCCCGCTCCCGACCGTTGAAGATGTTCAATCGTCCAACCGATCACACCTACCTCAGCAGGTAGAAAAAAAGAAAACAAACAAGCAAGCAAGCAAGCAAGCAAGCAAGCAAGCCAGCAAGCCAGCAAGCCAGCAAGCCAGTAAGCAAGCAAACAAACAAACAAACAACTGCCTTTTCTACGGATCTGAGTGTGCCCCTTTCTTTCAGTTCCCTTTTGCTGAATTTACCTCACGAACTCTTCACACCGAGGGTGGATGGGGCTAGCGGCTAGCGGTGTGCTGACTTGCAGACATATACCCCACGATATCTTTTGGGGAATTTACGGGTAGGGGTTGGCATGGGTTTTTGAATCATCCTGGAAGTCCGTGCAAGACCTTTTCTTTGAAGGGTTGATCTGGTTTATGTAGTGGTGTAACATCCTTAGTAAAACAATGGTTGATTGTTTGGGATTCAGATCATTAAAACAAGGGTGATTTGAATCCGGATCAATCCTCAAAAGATCGCCGTCTCTCGGCCCCCCACTGAGCCCACCCGGTCGTCCGTTCTCGCCTGAGCAAGTCTTCGTGCAGTGTGACCAAGACTGCCATGGATTCATCTTGCAATCCACTGCACTGGTCGGCCTGTGCGAGAAATGGACTGCTTTTCATGCTGAGAAGCCGAGAACAAAGGGGAGAGATGCTGGAAGCAAGAAGCAAGCGAGAGCCTGTCGTGTCCACCTCATCACTGTGGTTCAAAGCATGTTCAAAAAAAA